TTTGTTCGTCCTTCTTATTGCTATCTTTGTTTGTTGCTTTATAAGACGAAGACAAAGAAAGAAAGATGGTAGGTTAAACCGACTGTGTCTGCTATTTTACCTTAATTGTCATTTATCGAAATAGGAAATATCCCACTAACTCTATAACGAAGAACAGCCCTTGATTAGGTCTTCAGGTGGTTCATGTGCCTTTTGCTTCTAGATGACTGCCACTTTTACTTACACTGTAAAAATGTCACATGTTGTCAACAAGATGTGTTCGCAACAGGCTTGTAGCAAGCTTCTCAACAACTTGTAACGATGTTTTTATCTTATCAAGTTGCTACAAGGTTGTTACTCACAACTTGTTGACAAATTGTTGAATTGCAGAACGACAACTAGTTGTTGGAACACCTTGTAAAAAGTCTGTCGAGTTCAACAGTCTTGTAGCACGTTCTCACCAAGCTGGTAACAAGCAGTGCGAACACATCCTCATGATAAGTTGTTGAAAGTTACTGTGTTGGTACAAGCTAATCTGTTGCAGATTTAGGATACTTTTAGTATGTCTACGTCAATTGTTTCTCAATAATTGTTTCTTTCTCATCCGATAGAAAAGGAAACAAAACAGACATTCAATTTTCAAAGGTTTGTCAATGAAAATTATATTTGTTATATCATGCTGTAACCAGTACAGGACATTTAATACATTAACATCGTTTTTGCATTAATGTTTCCCCACATAATATATAATTGTCGAAAATTTTTGACGGGTGCACAATCGGCGACAGCACTACAATTTCTAAATCGTTTCTTTTTTTCTACAGAAATACATTCCCAATGAGATCAGTCGACGATGGCGAGTCATCCTATGCTTCTCGCGGCTCTAAACCGATCTATGCTTATTCAGTCGACTCGAGCAGTATCCACAGTCAAACTAACCCGAATAATGCCTACGCTGTACCGGAAGGTAGCGACGGTTCCCCGTTGGTGCGCCTTCGGAACAACTCGCTAGCTCTCGGCTCTGACGCGAGCAGTTACGATGTACCGTATTCTTCAGTCGCTGAAATCGGAGTCGACCCTACAACACCCCACTCGACTGGCGAGACCCCGCGCCATTTTGCCAATGCGCTGTTCACAGAGCGAGAACTCGAGGACACTAGGGGTGAAACAGAGTCCCTGGACTCGCATGCGGTATTTAATCCCATATATGAACCCAACTACCCCCAAGTATCCCACCCTGAAAACGTGCAGGGGGGTGTGGAAGATTTTCCAGACATCGAAGGGCCGATTGGTGTGCATAGTTACGAAGTTCTCTTTCTGCCTCCACCTCCCCCGGAATATTCAGATTTTGGCGACGATACAGATGAGCTACCGCATGCATATACTAACGCTGTCACCGACTTTTAATCATTACGGTAGAAATATGTAAAGTAGTATATAGTGCAAATCCAGCTGCGGGTAGATATCTTTATGGTGGAGAAGGGGCAAAAATATGTTTCAGCCCCTCTATACTTTCTAATAAAGCCTGTGACAAATTGCAAAGTTGTGACAATCTTTTACATACCATTATTTGCAGTATTATTTACATGAACGTGTTTTAAACACGAACTACTAGTTATAAGGCCTGTTTTAGACGTCGAATTTCCGTAGAATTAATTTAATGTTTCTGAATTTTATTCGACGGAACTTGAAATCAACCTTTGGCTTTGTCAGTTACTCCCAACGAAATAAACAGCATTAAATTTAATCAACAAATTTAATTTGACGGAAATTCAAATGTTAATGCTAATAACTATAAATATGTTCTAGTGTTCACTGCCAATAGGCAATTTAAAGTTAATGTTATTTGCAACGTCAATATTACGTCTATACGCCGTATAGGCGAGTCTACATTCTATAAAGTTTACTGTAAAAATTAAGCTAACTATAGAGTTCAAATCAAATGACATTTATTTCCGTAGGGTGACCTCTTCAGTGATGTATCACTGGTATCAATGAGGGCCCTACATTGCCTCTTGGCAGTATGAATATGTTTAAATATGTTTAAATATGCCTCAATATGTATGTTTAAATATGCCTCAGTTTATTATGAGGCAATTTGTATATATATATGTATAAGTTAATCACCTGGCAAAAAGCCATTTAAATAAGTTAATCACTAACACATATTTTTTGACGTTTCGACTTTATTGTCTTCTTCCAAGTAAAAATCGTTAACATAAACCCCTACTTATATACCCTACCAGACGAACATAATTATTCATACTCCTCAGAATCCTGTTCAATGTTCAACCCCGAGGGGTACATTGTCATAAGTCTATTAATCCAGTACATTTCCCTAATCGTTGGTTCTGCTGGGTTGGTTTTATTAATTATGACTATATCACAGTCATTCATTAAGCCATTATGGTTTTCACCTAAGAAATGCGAATGAAAAAAGGCTTGTGTATGA